ATATATATATATATATATATATATATATATATATATATAAAATGATTTCCAGCATAGTTAACATACAATGTTATATTAGCTTCGGGTGTAAGGAAGTAGTATTTTTAAAGCTGAAAATCTAGAAAGTATCTCTATAAAATTATCTGTCACTCCTATTGCTCAGAAGATCTTTAGGTACTGGGTGATAGGTGTATTCTTAAAGCCTGCTGCCCCAACTAGGGCAGTGACTGCTGATGATGGAGAAAAGTGTTTAGATTTGAGAGGTTTAGGAGGTAGAATTAACAGGACTTCTCCTCCTAATTACTTGCAGGGGGTTTGCATTTCCAGAAGCATTAAGAATGTTATCAATTCAAAGAAAAGCTAAAAGATGTTAAGTTTACTAGAAGTACGAAGTACTCTACATATCTTGTATTCTCTTCCATTTAGTTAAACTTCTGTGTCATCTAATGTATTTGTATTTAGGTGTTTGGTTCTGTTTTGAGAAGTACACTCTACGAACTCTTCTGAGGCTCCTCTAAAGTATTTTCTGGTATCCTTAATAGATTGCTGTAATGGCAAATATTCAGAGATTAAGAAAGCCATGTTAATTTTTACTGAAGCAGGCCAGAACAAAAAGTAACTAGGGCAAGTCACTAAATCATAAGTCCCTGTTGTTTTGTTCTCTTATTTATGTGAGGATTAAGTTTGCATGAGAAACTAACAAAGTCAGTATATACTTATCAGAATGATGGCTAGATGGAGATTTTATTGAGTGAAGTTCTGAGTGGTATAGTAAAGGTACGGAGGATCCTTTTATAAAAATAAATCTTCATGTGGAGTTGAGCAAGTTATAAGGTATCCCAAGTTGAGGTCTAACGATCAGCAACCAGAGATTGTGTCAGCTTTGTTACCAAGTTAATTAAGCAGTGAAAATTACAGGAGGCCTGACAGGTATCTTTGTTTTCTTAAAACTTTTGGCCCATCATTGTGGATATGTTAAATTGGCAAAATGCAGCCTGTGTTTTGAAAGAATATATATAGTAAACTCTCACTTTTGACACACGGAACTCATGGGAATTCAACTGCTTATTCTACTTCATGAATAGGTATAGGTTCTAGAAACTTGGAGATGTCCGCTATTCCCTTATTCTCATTTTCTCACTTGCCTTTTATGGTGCATCTTACTGCACTAGTATAATTCGCATGTTTAAAGATACGTGTTTTTACACAATATGGTGCTTAAACAAGCTCAGCTGAAGTAGCAGCCATCTTGCCCGATTCTGGTTCACTAAGGTATTTCCCCCTAGGCTCCTGAAGGGTAAGTTTGACTAAATGTGATTTTTTTTTTTCCTTCTCTTTTATACTCTTCTGAACCTGACCTCTCCAAGATGGGATTTCATTGTATATAACTGGGTATTAGAAAAAAATTTTTTTAGTTTGTGTTTAGAAAGTCACTGAAGTACTGCAGCAGTTGGGAAAGGATGGATATTCATTTATTTGTGTCTGTCTTCCTGGGGATGTTATTCTTTTCATATCCTATTTTTTTCCCCCCTCTAGTTGTGGCAATTTATGATTATACAAAAGACAAGGAAGATGAGCTGTCCTTTCAGGAAGGAGCCATTATTTATGTCATCAAGAAGAATGACGATGGTTGGTATGAGGGAGTTATGAATGGAGTGACTGGGCTCTTTCCTGGGAATTATGTTGAGTCTATCATGCATTATTCTGAGTAAAGCTCAGCAGAGCTGTGTTTCCCTCACAGGAATAGTCAGGTCTTCCCAGATTATCAAAAGGCCCTGGGGATTCCCCTCCAGTGAAATGAAGGAAGGATACAAATGACACAAACTACTTATGTTTTTTTGGTTTACTCCCCAGTATTAAAAAAGCAAGCTGAATCTGAACAAATGGATCTTTCTGCCATTATTTGTACTATGCTGAGCTGTTTGGATTAAAATAAAGTGACCATTTCTAAATATGTCAGAGGTATAACAGCATATAACTCTGTAAAACAAATCAGGTTAAGACTGAATCAGAAAATCTGGGATCTTTCTCAGGAATACTGTACACCCTTGGGATTTCTCCTCCTGCAGAATCTGTGGCATTGGATGTTCTTCAGTGCCTGTGCTAGAGGGTCAGCCTCGTGGCCCTAGTGCTGTACCCTAGCCCCACACTTTCTTCCACTTGGATGAGGAGGAGACAACTAGTATTTAAATAGCATACGTAACCATTTTTATAACTGTTTCGATGGCTTTTTTCCTCTTAACACTGTAAATTCCGCATTCTCTCAGCACTTGAGTGCACCAAGTGAGTGAGTGCTGCTGACTTGCATCCCCCCTTCATGTTTTTCAGTTTGTAGATTGAGGATGATGAAGTGAGTCCCCAAACATTGCGAGGGTGGTTAACAGTTGCTGGTTTGATTTCAATGTGCTGCGGCCGCTGCAGGAGACTGAGCTGCCACCGAGGGCTTGTGGGCCCAGGCATGTGACGCGTGGTCGCCTGGCTCACAGACTGAAGCAGGCGTGTGAAGCTAGACGTGAGGTTCCTGAGGTTCTGAAGAGACTGACCTGGAGAAAATGTTGTGCTCTAGGCATCCTAGACCTTTGCCTTAGGCACTGTTTCCAGGAGTAGAATCTTGGAGGTCAGACCAGCTATTTCTTTACTTCTCTCACTATTTAGGAAAACATTCTTTCTTGGAAAATAGCAGTTATTGTGAAGTCCCTTGACAGTCACTGGGAATCAAAGGCTTGCTACTGTGCTCCCCGAATGTTGTTAATGGCCAGTGTTAGCTGCTGCTGAGTCTACTTATTTCTAGGAAAGGTAAATACTCTCCCAGTTTTTGATTGGTTTTGAAGTCGCTGCTCTTGGCAAGAATTTGAACCTTCTATCTTGGACTAAGAATAGTGGGATGAGAGGTTTAAGGCCAAATACTAATCTACTTACATAGATAAAAATCAAGATAATTTTGAGTGAAACAGTATTTTTTTCTGTCTGTACAAGTTACAGCTTCAAGTGGAGCCTGTAAGGCAGCTGGCTTTAACCATCGCTTCTTTAAGCAGTGTAAGAAATACTCATGAAAGGGTCCAGGAGGGTTTGCTGCTCAGCAGCTGGATTTTGTGGTGAGGACCCAGCTCACGGGCCCAGAGCTGCCATGGGTTTGTCCCCGTCCCAGGGACTTTGCCAGGTCATTTCCCGGTGCTGGGTAAAATGGGGAGCGGCAAGCACTGCGTTTGTTTCAAACGAAGGCCTTGAACAGGATAATGTAGGTAGGGGGATCTGATTGAAAAATGAACAAGTGCACTAGTGTATGAGGGAATTCAGATGGTGTAAGCAGAAGTTAGTATTCCACTTGTAGATCTGTTTTCAGAGCACAAAACGTCATCACTATTTAACCGACCCAGATATAGGGTTCCCTTATCAAGACTTCTTGTTTTAAAGTTGCAGGGGGTTTTCCCCCACATATTGCAAGGTAGCTATTTTGCGTTTAGATTTCTTCAACATGAGCGTTCATTAACTTGCCTCCACTTTGTGCTTTTGTTAGGTCATCTTGACATTCTTTATGCTCTGTTTTCCTTTAAAGTAATGGCCCTGAGTGTCCTCTGAGCCTTCAGGTTCATTATGGACCAAGACTATCTACCTGGATAGGTTAAACTCTTCTTAGTGTTGGTGTGTAACTAGGAAAACTGTTTTGAAATTTAGATGTGTTCCAGTTTTTACTTCAATAGCTTTGTGCTGAGAAAGCTTAGTGGATTTTTAAGGCAAGAAGGTATTTTAAAATCCAGTGTAGTATTCACAGCTCACACCTACAGAAGCAGAGAAGATAATTGTGCAAAAAAAGTTGGTGGCGGTCACCTTGCCTGTTGGACCCCTGCTGGATTGTGGCCTGCAGAAGACACTGGTGCAGTCCTTCATACTGAAGACCTGCAGCAGAGGGGGCTCCATCGGTCAGCTGACTTTTTCTGTATTATTTAACACTAATGTATACAATTATTTTAAAAACACCTGTTGGATTTTCTGCATATTTTAAATTTTTGTACAGTTTTGAATTCTATATATTGTCTTGGAAGGATTCTATGTAATGATGACGGGCCAGGCCTACAGTAATTGGAGACTTTTAATGTATGTAATATTTCACAGATTGCATGCTATTAATAGTCTGTGAAGGTAGTATTTCTTGATTTATTGTAAGTTCCCCCCCCAATTTATTTATTTTTTTTATGAACTACAGGATGGTTGGTAGTAGGAATTCAAAATGAATGCAGAAATCTTACAGGATACATAATATTGTGGCAAAGATGATTCAAGTCTAAAATCTGACTTGTAAGCAACCATTTTAACAGGATAGAGGGAATCTAATGGGAGAGGGGATTTTTTATCCTTCTGAAGTGCTTTTCCTTAAAAAAAGTAAAAGTGACTGAAGAGTCTCTTCCCCTCCCACCCCCCACTTTTGGTACTACTTTTTGAAAGGCCTGGGAGAGATGAATGAAAATAACTTTCTTGTTGACCTTACGGCTAAGGCAATAAATCAAAAACCAAAGTAGTGTCAAGATCTAGACCTGAGAGATTCAGCCTGCTGTATTTGGAGTAAAGACGATTCTTTTAAGATGTCTTGTTCAGTATTCTCCATTTTTTGGCTACCTGCTGTTCTCATCTTTGGGGTGGCAAGGGCCTGCTACTTTTGCTGTGTTCCTAGAAGTCACTAGGTGAGACTTTCTTATCCCTCCCTTTCTTTCCCTCCATCCTGCTGCTGTTTCTTAGCCAGCTAGACAGAAGGTTTATGCATCTTTACAGTGATGTCTGTGATGGAGCTGTGCTCCCTAGCAGTCTTATGTTGATTACAGATGATTACTTAGGATTTTTCTGCTTGAGAGGCATCAAAATGATGGTAGTTTGCTTTTATCCTTTTGTGTTCATTTTCTTTTAGCAGGTACCTTTCTGCATTAAGAACTGTTCCTTTTATTTTTTAATTACCTTTTCTCCTCGGTGGAGAGAGCATGACATATCCTGAAGGCCACCTTTCCCTTGGAAAAGGGTTTGATGAAGGAATTGGCAGTCACCTGCTAAGTCTTCGAAAAAAATGGGGATCTGAGTCACTTCCCCTCTGTTCACTTCTGAACTTCTTTGGCCAGGAACTCCTGACTGGTGTTAAGGTGATGATTTCCCTTCCATGCTTTACTTAGAATCATAGAATTTTAGAGCTACGTTGAGATTTAAAAAATTTTAGTTCATTTTAATTGATGAGGTTAGATGTTTCATTTCAGATAATAGCTACTTAACAGTAGAGTTCCTGACTCAACGCCTGTACTTTCTACAGCTGTCTTAATTGAATATGCTGTATGTTTCTTTAAAAATTAGGAGTGCTACTTGATGTCTTCAGGAAGATACTTGAAAAGATACGCTGTTTCGATAAATTCCATCAGTATTCAAACTGTTTAAAGAAGTGTACTAAGCACAACTTAGTGAAAATTATCTTCATGTTAACCCTTCTACTACTCCACTCAGTACTATGTAGCAAAAATAGGTTACCTGATTTCAGCACTGGCAGGAGCACAGCAGAGAGCCTTAGTTAAGAGAGCCTTATAAAACAGTACTTAAATGGACATTATGCTCATAACCTTACGTTTACTTTATTCCTGTTTCTTATCGAGAATTTCATAAATCTTAAAAAAAAATGACAAACGATAGGGCCTAGCTGTGTATAAATGATCCTTGCTCAGTATCTTGAGATTTTTTTGTAAAACACAAACACGAAAAGCTTATTTTCACATTACGATGGAAATGTCTTTTGCAACTTCAGAATTCTATGGAAAAGCAGTTTTTCATATTTTGTGTCCATGCATCTTTTTTCTTAAAATGGTTTACAAGAAAGAATGTTAAAACAACTTGTGATCTGGCCAGTTGTATTTTTAAGCTCCTGCAGGGAGGGTTGGTATCCTGAATTGAGTAGAAATCATGCAGGAAAACTTGAGGGAGCAGTCTGTTGCCAGTAATGTTTCTTGTGTGTGCCATTAAGCCACCTCCAGCTGAGTGTGGGGGAATCTTCACTTTTTAATTTCAAAACTGTATTTGAAATTGTTGTTGTGTACTAAGAACTTGACCTAAATAAAATTCTACAATGTCCAAATGTCTTGTGAATGCTTTTATGCAAGTAACCAAAGAGGTTACTAAGGTGGTAAATCGAAGTGTACTGGAGAGAATCCTTCCCTATTGCTCTAACCTGAGGGTTTTCTGATCACTTGCCCCTAAATACAATTCTTTTAATACAAAAAGGAGAGGGCTTTTTTTTGCCCTCGTTTGACAAATGATAGTGATTTGTAAATAAGTTATAAATACACATTTATACATACCTTGACATGGCAGGCCAACACATAATTGGTGTGATACCAAAGCTTTGAAACAAAAAGCATCCCATTTTGAATTTGGTTGTACTTTGTTTAAAGAAGAAAATCTTAGTTTCAATAGTCAAAGCTTTCTTTCTTCTCTATTGGTACAAACTAAAAGTTAACCAGTTGAACATACCAAATTGTAGTTTAATTTACCTTCCCACTTAATTTACGGGCACCGCAACATAAACAGCCAAAACCAATTTCTTAAGGATGCCGATCCACAAACAGTCAAGTCCCCATGTTTAAATGAAATCTATGTATTCTTTTTATTAAGGATTGGGTAAGCAGACATAATGAAAACACAAACAAAAATTTACACTGTATGACTACTGTCCTAAGCCGTTACAATAGTTCACCGACAGTAACTGGTAATTTGGAAAATAACTTAATCCAGCAGTAGAACAACAAAAAAAAAAACAAAAAAACATTGTCAGTAGTACTGAATATATCTCTCTTTCATATATATATCTATATATATCTATATATAGGTTTGCACAATCAGGGAGCAAGGCACATAATGAAATGAGAGCGTACATTTAAGCAGAAGAAAATAGCAACAAAGCTGAAAGAAAAACTGTAACTTCACCTTTACCGAGCTGTGCATAATCATAATCTTGAATAATGTTCTCTATTAGGTACTTTATAATGCAGTTCCTTTTGCCTTCTTTTCATGCTTTAAAAAACTATATTCCTACATTGTATCTATCTATCTATGGCAAAGCTCCCACAGCCTAGATAACAGTGTAAGCCTTGACTCCATTTTTTCAAGAAATGGGAAAAGGAGCAATCCCAGTTAAATATGTGCAACTTTCCTTTAAAACAGTAAACAGTGTTTTTACAACATTTAGCACAAGCTAATGATATTGTAAATGTACATTTCTATAAAAGGAGTTCACTAGTGGCAAATGGTAAAATTAAGCAAAATCATTTGAAACATTCCAGTTAATGCTTATTTTCTAGTTAATGCTTATTTTCTAGGAGGGATTATTTACAAGAAGAAAAAAAATATATAGGAAGTAGGAATCATGAAAAATGGCAGTTTTTGGTATTAGGTTACAATAAATCTGACAGACAATGGACAGTTCCCAAAATGCAAAGACTTTCTGTAAGTGCTGCAAGCGTGTTCTGCCTAAGAAGAGGTTGAGGCTTCAACAGTTAAGAGCTTGGTATTAATAGCCATCTGTGATCAACAGGGTCACTTCTGAACTTAGCCATCTTTTAATATGTAGTAATTGCCATCACCCTGACTCGACTCACTTCTCTAAATGTCTTTGGTAGAAAACGGCCAGACCCCATTCAGGTAGATGAAAGCCATCTCTTGTGAGACAGACACTTTCTCTATTTCTGCACAAACTACAAATACTCATCTTCCTTCTCTTTCATTAGCACCTCAAAGTTTGCTTGTTGGATATTTTTTAAATGCTATTCCTCCAAAAGAGTTCAAGGCACTGGGGATTATAGCAGATAGTGTCTTCTCTTCAGCAAAGAGCAAACAAATTGGAGATTTTTTCCCCTTAATGTGTTTATCAAGTATATTGTTATTTAGCAAATTTATTCTACAGCTTATTTTCAGGTTTCTTTTACATATAGACCTTCCAAGGGCACAGTAAGAACAGAGCACTTATTTAGTTGGAGGGATAGACTGGTTAAAAGTGTAGAAATGTTCTACTGAATTTTTAAAGGAAAATCAATCTTAAAAAAAAAAAAGGATATTTCATTGTACTTGCATCTCTCTGTGCATCAAATCTCAACTTGGTGAGTGAGTACATATTCCTGTAGGGCTAGGGATAACCCACATTGATGTAAAGTGTATAAGCAAAAGCCAAAGTGCCAAAAGGTACTGGCAACCTAAAAGGGAGTTTTAGAAACAGACATCTTCTCAAGTGTAGAAATCCAAATTATTATACCTAAAGCAAATCATTACACCTATAATCATATAGGGCCATACAGGTTTTTAACTGGTCTAAACTTGAATAAAATCTGAGATACTGTTATCAGTTGTAATTTGTTAGCTCTTGAAGGTATATGAAAAATTAACTAGGAGAAAGGTTTTTTGTTTAAATTCACCTCGTGTTTGTAACAAATTGCTTTTAGCAGAAGAAAAAAAGGTGACAAAGGGTTCTGTTGGTGGCTTGATAGTCAAATAAAACCGGTCCATACCATTACCTGACACTTTTTTTTCCAGGCTATTTCATTACCTTACATCCTTGACACAAGCTTATTAGCGGTTGTATTCTCCTAGAAGAGCAGCTTCTGAAACTAACTGGATGCACAGCTGCTATTAACCTTGATCTCAGCTGTCACTGTATTGGAGTTATTTATTCATGATCTCCCAATTTTGTCTATAAACTTTCTTGATAAACTCAGCACTTTTTAGTGGCAAGTAAACTTTCAGAGAGAGGACTTCCAGGATAGTTCGTGGCCCTTAGCGGAGTATATGCCGCCAGTGGGCAGGAGCACTTTGATTTTAGAGGGCTGTAAAACACCGGCACGTCTACGTTACTTTGACATTTTCTGGTGAAAATTATTTCCTGTAATTTTTAAGTCACCAATCTTTCTCATCTTAAAAAGTCCCAGAAATGAAAAAAAAAATCCAATTTACAGTTAGGTGGGTCCTATAAAAGCCATAAGAATACCTATCCTAAGGGAATATTATAGCAGCTGAAGAAATAATGTGTTTGAGTAGTAAAAACGCAGCTGAATAAAATTTCAATGAGTCTAGCATTTATATTCTTACCTAGAACCTATGTCGTTTTTTTTTGTTTGTTTTTTAAAGATTTTATTTATTTGACAGAGACAGCGAGAGCAAGAACACAAGCAGGGGGAGTGGGAGAGGGAGAAGCAGACTTCCCGAGGAGCAGGGAGCCCGATGCGGGGCTGGATCCCAGGACCCTGGGATCATGACCTGAGCCGAAGGCAGACGCTTAACGACTGAGCCACCCGGGTGTCCCTATGTCATTTATTAACAGAATAGGCTCTGCTACCCTTCAGAATTAGTACCCAAACCTTAAGCACCGGGTGATCACCAATTCTGAAATGATCTGTGGTAGGAGTGGAGGGTGTCACTTATTAACCAAGTCACTAGCTGAAACAGGCGCCTGTTTGCACTGCCCTCGACAGCACGCTATTCACTTCTCAGTACAGCCAAGTCAGCTGCCCAGATGTTCTTCTCTGACCAGAAGCAGATACATGGGGTTGGAAGGCTTCTGAGCAGACGGCAGTGGAAGAAGGCAGTCCGTGTTCTCCAATAACACACCAGAGAGAAGTTCCAAAAGTTAACAGTCATCTCAAAGGAACTCCACACAACTTCATCCCAACAAAAATCCCACTAGGGAGTAAAAAGCTAGAAGTATAATCTAATGTATTATTTTGTGGGTTTTTTTGATTCAGTGTTTCACATAAAACAAAGGGGGGAAAAGTTGATTAATAATAGCCTTTTCTGTCTTTGGAGAAACGTAAAAGAAAACCACCTGTTGGAGACAAGCCCTGGGATTCGGGCATAAACAACACAGCTCTCCTCTTGGTGCTGCAAGCGTTCTAAAGGATGTCTGCTCTTTCAGGAAAGTGATAACGTGGGAGCATCAGTTTGGATGGCTGTCAGGACTGACACAAGCCAAGAAGTCCTAGGGAACCCCACACTGACTAAAGCAAGGCTGCATCTTAGGGCCCAAATCATGGGTGAAGGAAGACTGAGGGAATATTATTGTTTTTCCCCTCCAGGAAAGTTGAAGTCCACCTTCATATAAAATAAAGACCATCACCACCACAAAAACCCTAGTGATGAATATTTCTATCACTGGATTCCTATTAATCACTTTACCTGACAAATAAGGGTGATCCTTAGAATATAAAAGTGCAGGCAGCAGGCAGAACTGTGGGAAATTACTTCACTCACAAGTTACAGCGGAGCTTGGCCATCTGTGCTCAACCATTACCAAAATTGCTGTGCGTGCCTAAATTAACAGTGCCGACGTGTTAAAGGTCACTTCATAAGCCTAAAAATATCAAGCGCACAAAGTTTGAGAACAAATGAGAAGATCCAAAAAGTATCTTTTAAAGAGCAGGGCTTTAAAAAATGCACAATGGTACATATTCTTATTGCTCTATAAGCACAGGAACTGCTGAATAATATCCTAGAGATCTAGGCAATGGAGAGGTGCCACTTCATATTCTGATGCAGTCCTTTTTTTGGAGGTGGGTTTATAGGAGTATCTTGTGTATATAGTACAACTTTAGCTTATTCTTAAATTCTTTACTATCTCTGCCCCACTGCACTGGCTTCACTTTTTTCTTATGGGACAATGTCAAAGATTTTTGCAGTTTGCACTGGTAATTCTTATTCACGACAGGTAGAGACTTTGATTACAAGATGTGCTCGTGTATATCACTGCTGGGATGGCTAGTTTTTATTGTTTAAGAGCAGCTCTGAGATTGCATTTTATTTGTAATGGTCACTTCATCATCATAAACTGATGAGACAGTACATATTTCTCTCATATACCAAGGAAAATTCACAGAACAACAACAACAAAGGTGTTAAGCGTAGTGTGAAGCATAGAGAATGTAGTGTGTCATTAGAGCAATGATTCCATTTTATACCAAACTGCACATGCAGAATATGTAATGTCATTCACTGTACTTGGACTACACTACTCCACCAGAACACCCGGGAACCTGGACAAATCTCCACAACCAGGCCACAGCAAGCAAGAATCCGAGTGTGCTCTAGTAGCTAAGGATGAAATGGTCAAAAACCTCCCTTTTCCCCTTCCTCTGGGAGAGTCCCATACTCCAGTGGATTCTCTGTTATACACTACAGTCCATACACAACCTGACAAATGATACCTGCACAGGGGGCAGTCCTGCTTCTTTCCTAATCACCCATTCTAGAGCAACACACAAAAAAGACGCAATTCAGAAGCTAATTTTGTTTTTGTAATGATGCACTGTATCGGACATGGGATGTGTATATTTGATAGAGCAATTGTCTACAGATCTCTACTATCAACATCTACCTAAAGCACACACTATAAGATAACTGGTGACCCAAAAACATACTGGGACAGGGCATTCCAGGGGTATTGTGTCAGATATTCCCTTATGACAAATCAAAACAAGAATCACGAAGCCAAGCTTGATGAGGCTTCGCAAAGCTCATGGAAAAGATTCCAACAGTACAAAAAGAACTATCCAGGATTGCAGTACTAAATCATCCATGTACTGTAGGCAAAGAGCTTACCTGTGACAGAACACATCCTAGATACAGGTGGGATCATGGCGGCACTACAACTAGAATGGTTTAGTTCCATCGTGTGTTTACTTCCTATGCACAACCGCGGACGGACACAGCATCTGTGGAAACTTCCCCATTCTGCACTAGTGACCCACCCATGACGCTGACAGTTTCCTGATTTAAAGTGCCCCTTCATGTATAAGTGATGAAGTGTCAGCCAAGCAGTTCGAACTTCAGCCAACTGGGGAAGAAACAAACACAAGAGTCCCATCGATACACCAAACACTCTGCTGTCTTCGCAAACTGAGAAACAGCACATAATACATCTATTCCTTAATATATAATACACAACATGCACAGAGAGGCTGCACATGAACACTTATGAAATGCCTTCTAAGTCAGTGATTAGAAGTTTTTGGTCCAATCCACGTGGCAGGTAACAGAAATCGTAAGGGACAGGACACGCATCCCCTTCCATGCCTCTTCCACCAAAATACGCAAACCCATATTCAGGTCAGGAGAGCAAAGGAATACTCACTCACTCTCAGCTATGTACACACACACACTGTCCGTACATGTATAGCCATGCGTGTCCACGCACACGTACACACACGTACAGCTGGATACTACCTGAACAACATCATACTAGGAGGCTCTGAACACCAGAGGTCGTAGGTGTCAGGTGAGCTGATTGTAGAACTGATTACAGATACCATGAAAACCAAGTCCTGCAGTAGCTACTACCAGTCCCTCGAGAGCTTGGTGTTCTGGTCTCTCTTCGGGGGTGCGGGAGGGGGTCCTCTCCGCAATGTTGCATAGCCCGATATATGACTACCTCCGTAAGCGGCTTTCTGCTGATCAGAAAGCAGTTCCGGGGGGGGGCGGCGGCAATGCCATATCATCCATGGTGGCCGTGGGTTCCGCTCTGGACATGCGGGAGGAGGAGAGCGAACCATGCCGGGTGATGGACTTGCGTTGCAGTGTCCTGTTGAGGTCGGCGAGGAATCCAGGCTGGACACTAAGGCTGGACTTGGGAGAGGTGGGCACTTGCGGCACAACTGTGGCCATTGCTGGCTGCTCAGAGATCTCTGCTTGAGTGAGGCGGGTGCTGTCGTTCCGTTTGGGTCGTGTGGGTGGAGGGGCCTTCTTCGTTGATGTTTTGGACCATGGCTGTGGTTGAGGATTAACGACTGCCACTTTTGGAGAGGTGTTTCCCGAGAATACAGCTGGAATCTCTATGGGGGGCAGAGGAAGCTCTATTTCAGGTGGAGGGGGTGGAAAGTCGGAATCGGATGGAGGAGAAGGAAATTCTACCACAGAGTCCTTTCCGCGCCCACTCAGGACAGATGTTTTTGTCGACACACACCCCTGCTGGAGAACTCCAGGAAGGTTAACTCCAGAAAGATTTAGTTTTCCGGGTTTGGGGGGCGCCGCCGGAGGTGGTGGGCTCTCTTTGCTGGGAGATCCTGAGGGTTCTGCTGGCGATGCAAACTTGCTCACTAGACTGTCTACTGAGGGTCTCTTGGGCTCAGGGTGCTCGGTGCAACTGCTGGACTTAATGCTGGAGTTTCGCTGTGGGGTTGGGGGAGGTTTCTTTGCCCCGGGGCTGGATGTCTTACTGGTCTTTTTGCCTGGAGATCCACTTTTGTCGGAGGCAGGAGAAGCTGAGGGCGTAGTTGTTAGGGGTGCCGGGACCGGGGCCGGTGGTGGAGGAGGGGGAGGGGGAGGGGGGGGGGGAGGGGGGGGGGGGGGGAGGGGGGGGAGGAGGAGGGGGAAACGCCAGGCTGCTCTCAGGAGGAGGAGGGGGGAAATCCGGAGAGGGGACAGGGATGGAGCTCGGCTGCCACTTGGGTTTCGCTCTCACAGCAGGAGGGGACTGTGGGGCCACATGTGCGGAGGGAGGCCTGAAGGGCTGCTCCACGGGAGGAGGGGCTGGAGGGGGCGGAAACTGGCTGGCTATCTGCTTCACGACTGAGGGCACCGGAGACAGTGGAGAGGGAGGTGGTTTTACGCAGAAGCTCTGCTGCTTGGGTAACGTGGGTGGGGGGACTGGACCAGGAGGAGCAGGGGGAGAGGGTGCGATATGGGACACAGGAAAAGCTGGCTGCTTTTTTGCTGGGGGGGCTGGAGGAGCAGGTGTGGGTGGCACAGCCTGTGTCATAACAGGGGGCACAGTCTTGGTGCTGGTCGGTGGGGGCATCGTCACAAGGGGTTTGGGGGGCGCTTGGGGAGGGAGGGGTGCAGGGACAGGAGGGGGTGGTGGGGGCGTCGGAGGGGCCACCTGAGTGGCATGCTGAACGTGATGGATCTTCAGTGGAGGAGGTGGAGGGCTGAACTGTGGGAGGGATGGGGTACAGGGTGCCGGTCTGAGCTGGGCCATAGCTGAGCCCGGGGTGGGGGGAGGGGGCGGGGGTGGGGGCGGGGGAACGACCCCACTGGGGGGCACCAGGATCTGAGGCTTTCCTGACTGGGAGGTGGAGGCCAGAGACTGCATCACTGAGGGCGGCGGAGGCTTGAACAGGGGTCCTGAGTGCTGAGAAGCGTTCTGCAGCCTGGTTATTGTGCTGTACTTGACGAACATGGTGGCTGCTGAGCCAGCTGAAGGTGCCGACTGGCTGGGCAGAGGTGGGGGAGGTGGGGGGGGGCGGAGGGGGGGGTGGGGGCGGGGGTGGTAGAGGCGGGGAAGGCTGTGAGGCAGTGTAGGGGGTGACCAGCTTGGGCTGTGGGGGTAAAGGGGGCATAAGTGAAGTGTAGGGTCGATTCATAGACTCCATTCTGGCCTAAAAGGAGCATAAAGGTGGGGGGGTGGGAGAGAGAAAACACAACAAACACAACAGTTACAGTGGTAAGCTTTGCGTCAAACTAAACAGCAAGGAATCTGGGACATGGGAGAAAGGACTCTGCAGTGGGACAACGTCAGGAAGGCGAAAATAGGACTCCCTGGGCACCAAGGGTACAGGGAATTTGTTCACCCAGCAATACTCTCAAATGGCAAGACTGCCTAACAATCTAGGGAAAATGTCCTGCTGATCAGTGGCGGGCTGTCTGATCTCCGAGCCCTGACTTTCACACACCTGCCACGAACAGGAGGCCCCGTGGGAGGAGCTCTGTGCCCTGACCCCCCTGGACTGTGGCAAGTGGAGACGTGATGGCTCGAGTTCACCTTTCAGTCCATGGCCGCATCCACATCAAGCAGATGCCATAACTGGGTTTAGGAGTGTTGGTGGAGGGCCTCCCGAGGCGTGAGGATGGCTGTGTGATGCTAGCAAGCTGACACGGGAGAACATGAGAATGTTCAGCAGGGCGTGCACAGACACACACTCGTGTTCGTGTGAGACACTTGCATCCAACATGCACAGAAGTCCAGCAATGCAGGTAAAGGGGGGGCATTCTTTACATTTGTTTTACTGGAAAATACATAAAGAAATGCTTTATAAACATTACAGCAAAAGATTATAAAAATACCATACAGAAAAAGCCAGGAGAAAATGAGGGGAAACCTTAGAAAACTAAAGGAAATATATCAAGGAATGGCAGCTAGAGTTTGCCAACAACCTGCTGACCAGCCCCTTGGGCACCTCTGGCACTGCCTGGGTTACCACATCTGGTTATCTGTGTCATGGAGCCACTCATGCACGAATGTGGTTCAAGTACTTTTGAAAAGAGCAAAGGAAGGGCCCTTGGTTTAATAAAGCTTGGGCACGTATTTTAGGTGCTTTGAACAGACTCTGAGGATCCAAGATAAACCATTTGTTTCCAAACTACAAATGACATCTAATTAGCATCAAGAATGCTCAGGTTAGTAGACTAGAAGGCTCAGGGTGGGGCTGAATTCTAATGCCCACCAGGACACTCACATGTTTCTTTAAAAACTGCACAAAGTAAAAGCATTAGTCTGCGAGACTTGGTTACAGGAGTCACCCAGGTTAATGTGTTTCCAAAGAACAGCCCCTGACCTTAACTTGACCCTGTCTTGGCTGCTGCAGGGGTGCAGACCTCAGCCGTGCTGGCCTTCTCATTTGGCACCTGAGGCTGAGGTAACAGAAGAAACACAGGTGGGGTCAAGACAGACCATCGATGCTGCACAGAACGGTTTGCGCTCCAGAAACTACCATGACCAACTCTGTGGCTTCAGCACAGAGCATTCGGACCTTTATTATTATTTTTTTTCCTCTTGGCCTTTCACTTAAAATGTACATGGCTAACACTATTAAAAATTTAGTAAGGGAGCAGACTTTTCTTTAGATATCTGAATTGTGCAAATCTGCTTCTCTAGCTACACATACGGAGTTATTAGGACCAGATAGGGCTGTTTCATCCAAACTGAGTAAGTGGGAAAGGGAGACAATTATTTCTTAAAATCTGAGCCCCTGATAAGGGAGTTAAACAAACTGTCAGTGCTTTGAAAATTCAGGTCATTAGAACCGATTTTCAAATATTTCTTTCTAAGACAAAGTGTTCCACCCCGACACTGGGCTACTAATGCCTCTTGCTGAGGAGCAGTTAATATACCACATATGCAAATAAAGGAATACATTAAAGGAAACGATCCATTTAATTCTCTTTGGTGAGTGTACTTGTGTAAGTGATTCAGACCAAAAGAACAAAAAAAATCACGATGGTTACTGGGTAGAAACACAATGCTCAGGCCAGCTGTGCCACTGGCCCCTCAGTGACGGCAACAGCGTGAGCGCCTCCCGCTCAGCGGGCGAGGGCAGCTGCGACACGAGGCTGCCCTCTGAACTTCAGAGGCAGTCTGATTTGATGGCTTTCACTCGGGCTAGAGAACCTACATATTTCTAAACAGTCCTGCAATAATTATAATTCATCCTTCAGTGTCATTGAACAAGCTACCGTGCAAAGCTCAGGGATCCAAAATTTTAAGGGGATTAATCTGAATTTATGTCTTCTGCATATACTAAAATTTGAGAAAATCTCATGTGCAGAGAAATGCCAAAAAGCGTAAAAGAATAGAAGACAAAGGAAGGAGTCTGAATAGATTAATAATGAGTAACGAACCATTAACAGCTTCTCTGAAACAAAGTTAGGGTAGGGCCCTGGCACTAAATGGTGTTGCTCCATCCCAACTGATTAAGGTGAAAGGGAAGCAACCATTATTTCTTAAAAGTCTGAACCATTGATAGTCATTAAATTGCCAGTTTGAGATCTTAGGTCACTAGAGCCAATTCACAGATACTGATTTCTGAAGTGAAGTCAAAGTAAGAATACTGAAATAGGGCCAAGAAAGAGTTCTAATAAAGGAATAAAAGCAACAAACTAACCCACAGAATATCAAAGATTTTTTTTTTATATAAATTATCACCAGTGTGTTACCTACCTTGCTGGACTCTTCCAACTGAGTACCACGTTTCCAGGCTTCAGAGAAGATGGAGCTCACAATACTCTGGGAGCGGACATGTCCTGCTGGCTGAGTATCAGATACTCCACTGTCAGATTGAGTAGAATGATTTGACTGAGACTCTGTTTAAAATAGATTTTCAAAAATAGGATAAATAAAGTTGTTATTCCCACAGTACGAATATGTACATTTAGCGAGCTCTTTTACACAAGATCAGATGCTATGCAGGACTGCAACAAGTTACTTTTACTCGACTCATTTCATATAAACACAGTCTGAACTTTCCTCTAGAAAACTTTCCTTATCTTAGGGCTAATAGGAAATCTTGATTCTTTTTAAACAGTTCACCATGACAGACTGAACATTACAATGAAAGATTCGTGTAACGTTACTGGTACCCTGACAACCTTGAAGAGGTGTTCTTGCCTTGCCTGGAGGCCAGGCTACAGTGTAGCTGCTGCCGGGTGGTGCCAGTACCTGAATCCCTAGAAAACACTTCTCACTTGAGCTCAGGGTTGCTGAGAATGGTGGAGGATACACTGGATGTGTCTCTGACATTGAGGGTGAGGGACCCCAAGTAAGGTAAGATAACCATGCAGAAGGAAGCACCTAGCCCACTGGCCAACATCTGGTGGAGATTCAGGTGTTAAAGCTAGTCCTATCAATGACTCTGGGGGGGGGGTATTATGAGATTGCTTTTTAATCCAGTCCAGCCAAGTTAGCCGAAGCAATACAGAGACAACAGCCACAAACTCCTCTGGATAAAGTTAAGACATATCCTCAGGCAAAAATACAGGATAAAACCTTTGTTTTCTTCTTTCTTCATCATTCAATTGCTGAGTCTTTTTAAAGTTTTTTATTTTAATTCCAGTATAATTAACACACAGTTCTATTAGTTTCAGGTATACCGTATAGTGATTCAGCACTTCTATACAACACTTGGCGCTCACCACAGCAAGTGCGCTCCTTCCTCCCCATCACCTATCTCACCCATCCCCCCACCTCCCGTCTGGTAACCGTCAGTTCTCTCTAGTTAAGAGTCTGTTTCTTGGCTTGCCTTTCTCTCTCTTTCCTTTGCTCATTTGTTTTGTTTCTTAAATTCCACAGATGAGTGAAATCACATGGTATTTGTCTTTCTCTGACTTATTTCACTTAGCATAACATTCTCTAGCTCCATCCATGTTGTTGCAAATGGCAAGATTTCATTTTTTATGGCCGAATAATATTCCTGTGTGTGTGTGTGTGTGTGTAGGTGTATGTCTGTGTATATATATATATATATATATATATACACAAACCACATCTTTATCCATTCATCCATCTATAGACATCTGGGCTCTTTCATAGTTCCATAGCTTGGCTATTGTAAATAATGCTGCCATAAACATAGGGGGGCGTGTATCCTTTTGAACTAGTGTTTTTGTATTCTTTGAGTAAATACCCTGGGGTGTGATTCCTGGATCGTAGGGTACTTCTATTTTTAATTTTTGGAGGAACCTCCATACTGCTTTCCACAGTGGCTGCACCAATTTGTGTTCCCACCAACAGTGCATAAGGGTTCCTTTTTTTCCACATCCTCGCCAACACTTGTTTCCTGTGTATCTGCTGAGTGTTTTTTAAAAAGTTGCAACTTCACTAGCCTCCTGTATCCCTATTTAATTACTAACCAGGACAACCGCCTATAAGATAGGAGGCTGGAACATGTGAATCCTTGAGCTCTCTTCAGCATGAATGTATAAGATTTTGCAATTTATATTTAAAAATCTGCATAATACTTAACACTGTATAAGGAGGGATGATGCTGGACTAGGAAAAGGCACCACACCACTTCATAAAACGTGTGGGTAAATGCACCTGTATTAATGCTATATTAATTTAAAAAATATCATGGCATCTTTTATCTCAATCTTTCCCTTAGTTTTTCTAAAATCTTAACTTGTGACATGCTCTTACCTTGCCTTTCTCAATCCATTATCTCAAAAGTGTCTTCCTCCCCTTTAATAAACATTTATACAGAATAGTTTTAGATTTATGGAAAAGTTGCAAAGCTAGCACAGAGTTCCTACATACCTAGCACCCAATTTACCTCATTATTAACTTGCTGTATTACCATGTACATTGTCACAACTAAGGAACCAACACTGACACATTACTATTAACTACACTCCAAACTTTATTTGGATTTCACTAGTTTTTCCATAATGTCCTTTTTTTTTTTTTTGGATCCAGGATACCACATTATAGTTAGTTGTCAATGTCTCCTATGACAGTTTCTTAGGCTTTCCTTGTTTTTAATGCTCTTGACAGTTCTGAGGAGTACTGGGTCAGGTATTTTACAGAATGTCTCTCAATTTTGATTTGTCTGATGTTTTTCTCTGGATTTGACTGAGTTATGAAACTTGGAGAGGGAGACCAAGAGAGGGAAAGTGCCAATCTCATAACATTATGTAAAGGGTACATGCTATCAGTAGAACATATTACTGAAGGTACTGACCTTGATCACTTGGCTGGGGTACTGTTTGTCAGGTTTTCCCACTGTAAAGTTACTCCCCTTTCCCCACATCCAACTACCCTCTTTGGAAACAAGTCACTCTGCACAACCCACACTTGAGGGGGGAATTAAGTTCCATCTCCTTGAGGGCAAGTGTCTGCATAAACCATTTATAAATCTTCCCTACAAAAGATCTGTCTCTTCCCCATTTATTTATTTATTCAATAATGTGTATCAGTATGGACTGATGGCTGTTTACTTTATAATTTGGATTATAATCTTACACTATGTTATTCTGTTGCTCAAATTGTTTCAGCTTTGGCACCTGGACACTCTCTCAGGTTGGCTCCTGTGTCCCTTTACACAGCCCCATCACTGTGTTTTTTGAGTACTTCCATCATCCTAAGCTGCTTCAGGCTCATCTTATTCTCTGCCACAGCCCTAGTTCTTTGTTCTGGAAAATGGTATTAGAAAACCAAGATCAAGGCACTCTATTTTCACTTCTCTTTGGGTGTCACTGCTCTTATTTCTCTCAGTGGACAGCACTAAGAAATAAATGCCTACTAACCCATACACATTCTCATTTTGTTTCTACTTACTTAGAGATGAAATAGCCATACAACTTTTTAGTCAAATGATTTTTTTAAAAAAGTTCACATTTTTATTTTATTCTAAAGCAAATAGATTCTGAAAATGGTAGAACTTCCTTAAAATGTATATACGTAGCCAGGTAAAAACATTTACTGAAAGATTAATTTATATGTTATACTAATAAATAATGGGAGGGTTTTTTTTTCATTTAAATATTTCCTAGTTATTATTTCTTTCATGTGATGTCAGAACAAAAAAAGTATTTTGCTTTTAGAGGACATAGTTGTCATTCATGGGGAAATTTCCATTTTGAAGGGAAAGAAGCATTTCCATTTCCATTTTGAAGGGAAAGAAGCATTTATTTTAAGGTGTAATCATAGCATACTTGTTTAAAGGATGTGGGAATCTGAAAATAAGCACTTTTTGAGTATCACTGATTTCTTGTGAAAACTTTAGTAAGTCTGATGGCTTAAACAGTGATACTGAACTAATTCTAGTTATTTCCACTCTGCTGAAATGTCAGGAAACCTATGGGGAAGGAGGGCAGTTTCATCATGGATTTTGAGTATGCAGACTTCCTTCAAGCAACTTTTCTATCCCCAGGTATATATTAACAGTCACAGTTGTTCAGCAGTATGACTGAGTTTGAAATAAACTTTATAAATATATATAACAACACTCCTGGATTTAAAACTATATACTGGTGCTCCATACCAAATACATTTATGAACTAGCCCATGATATTGTCCCCTCTTACCACCAAAACAAAATTTTTTTTATAATTTAGACATTAGCTACAGCTCTGGTTTTAAGAACCTTGCTGAAATAACCAAAGCTGCTGTCAGTCTATAGAGATTTCTTCATATTGGCTGTCAGCATTTCGAACTACCTGGGATGCTTGAAGAACTGGATCCTGATTTAATGCTGGAGCTGGATAAGGAAGTCCAATCATAAGCCGACTCTGTCCTCTTCAGGGCTTCTTGATAGTTCATGTAGAGCTGTTTCCCGTACTAAACAGAAGGCAGTAAATGATGACAACTGAACATTATTGGGTATGATACAGATGGATGAGGTAAGAAAGGGGGATACTTTTCTGTTTACTGATTCATAGTTTGCATTAAAATTTATACCTATAGTACTTCAAAAATTATTTTTAATACCAGTAAATTACCATCAACTCTTATTTATCCTCATTTTAAGAAAGGGAGCAAGAAGTTAACACTTGATTTGTTCATTATCAATATAAAGATTTTTTTGTTATTCCTAAAGCAATTTTGATTTTATAGCTATCATAAATTTTATTTTCACTTAATGGGCATAAATATTCCTTCATGTTTTATGTGTAATCCTCTTCAAGGTGTCCTTAAAATTTTTTTCAAAGACTTTTTTTTAGAGCAGTTTTAGGTTCACAGCAAAACTGAGAGGAAGGTAAAGAAACTCCCCATATGCCCCCTGCCACTATCCGTGCACAATCTCTCATTTATCAATATTCTCCAACAGAGGGTACATTTGTTTCAATCAATGAACCTACATTAACACATAATAATCAAAGTCCACAGTTTACCTTAGGTTCACTCTTGGTGTTATACATTCTGTGGGTCTGGAGAAATGCATAATGACATGTATTCACCATTACAGCATCACACCAAGTATGAATATTTTCACGGCCCTAAAAATCCTGTGTCCTGCTTATTTATCCCCCTCTTCCCAACCTGAGGCGATTTAATTCTCAAAAAATTTCTTTTACTTAGGCTAAACTCTGCTGTATAAGAATCATATAATGTGTTCGTCAGAGCCAAAATAAATCACTCGGATGCTACACAAGCTTTTACCAGCAGTATTATTCCATGGATACCAACTGTTAAATGTTTATCCCCTAAGACATTTAAAAAACAAAACTTAGGCCTCAGGAAACACTGACAAAATCATAAACATGAAATGATTAGAATAACTGTCATGACAATCAAAACCATATCATGAAACACCTCATTATTCTATCAAACCAAAACAGAACACCCTACCTTTGCAATGCGGATACCATTGACCCACTGATGCAGGGTCCTCACATCATCACAACAAAGGTACTTGATGTACTGAGATTTCTTCTGGATCTGTGGGTGCTGCAAGATTAAAGGCAAAGTCCAATTCAGTACCCTGAAGAACTAAAGAAAAACTACCAAAGTTTAAACAGACCCTGACAAGTTACAGGTCATCAGAGTTACAGCCAAAAATAATTTGTACCTCTTATATGGCCATAAGGCCAAATAACATGGCCCATAAGTATTTTTACAAAATAAACTACAAAGCAAGGCCCCTGGATGGTTCAGTTGGTTTAGCAGCCGACTCCTGATTTTGGCTCAGGTCATGATCTCAAGGTTGTGAGATCAAGCCCCTGCTTAGGATTCTCTCTTTCTCTCCCTTTCCCTCTGTCCCTCCCCCCCTGCTCTCTCCCTAATAAATAAATTAAAAAAAAAAACTACAAAGAAACGTGTTAAATTTTAGGTCAAGATATGCAAGTTAAAAAATACCTTTATAGCACAGCAGATCCCCAAATACCCCTTCTGTATTTCAGAGAAACATAGTCCATTGAGGTTAACAAACTCAACAGAACTCATCTATAAGACTGTGAAAAGGGAAGATTTTGATTTCACTTTAAGCCCACTGGAATCAGGAATTCAGAAGACTCCAAACAAGAGGGTGTTTGGTAAAGCTTCTAGTGCTTCTGTGGAGGTGTACCGGTGAGTGGGGTGGGTGAGTGCAGGGCACAGCACCTGGAACATGAGTGGGCGCTCACACCTGGTGCAGTGGTGCCCCCTGTTGTGGACTAAGCACTGCTCTGCACCCTATCTGCCCACAGCACATGCCCTCCAGGGAATGAGCAGCTTTTCAACGGCATCATCAGATTCAGTTTTCACTTTTCAGCTGCAGTTTGGATGGGAGGTGATTCACTAGACCAGCTATACAATGCAAGTGCTAGAACAGACTTAAGGTATTTTAACTCTACTGGGCCATAACCACTACTTCCCTGGAAAGAAAAACCCTAAATCACACTTGGTTCTGAATGTAATAGTTGTTAATTATTACTTCTCTTTTCAGTTATTCTGAAAAAATTTTTTTAAATGGCTACATTTTACCTGGGGAAATATTTAAGATTATGTTAAATTATAAGAGGCTTTAAAGATTCTCTAACCATATTTGTTGTGGAAATCCAGGAGATCAATAAAATAAGCAACTGGGTAAGTTCTCAATGCTGCAGAAATAGATGACCACCCATATAAGTTATGTATCTGCATTGTTAGAGATCAATCTTGGGGCACCTGGGTGGCTCAGTTGGTTAAGCATCAGACTCTTGATTTTGGCTCAGGTCATGATCTCAGGGTTGTGAGACTGAGCCCTGAGTCAGGCTCCACACTGTGCATGGAGCCTGCTTAAGATTCTCTCTCTCCCTCTGCCCCTCCGACCACGCTACTCACTCTCGCATGTGCTCTCTCTTTAAAAAAAAAAAAGGTCAATCTCTCTGGTCTACAACGGGAGAAATTTAAATCCATTTATTCTATTCTATACATTGCTATTAGAGCTCAGCTCCTATAATAAAACATTTAATACCAAAACCAATTTAGTTACTAAAGGCTAGAGTGAAAGTTTTAAACAATAAATCATCAACAAAAAGAGGCTGGCAAATGGCATGGATGGAACTAGAGGGTATTATGCTAAGCAAAATAGAGAATGACAAATACCATTTCACTCATACGTGGAAATTTTTTTTTAAAGATTTTTATTTATTTATTTGGGAGAGAATGAGAAAGAGAGAGAGAACACATGAGAGGGGGAGGGTCAGAGGGAGAAGCAGACTCCCTGCTGAGCAGGGAGCCCGATGTGGGACTCGATCCCAGGACCCTAGGATCATAATTAATTTTGGCTGTAACACACACTGCTGGTTGCCTTCCCCACACCTATTCCCTCTTCCTTACTTCTTTTCTTAAAGAGCCCCAATTTTTTTGGATGTCCGTCGACCTGTTATGTCAGGGTGTGAATTCTAACTAGGCTAAGCCAAAAACACTGGAATAAACTTAACCAAGGAGGTGAAAGACCATACTCCAAAAACTATACAATACTGATGAAAGAAATGGAGGTTAACACAAGAAATGGAAAGACAGTCCCTGCTCATGGATTGGAAGAACAGGTATTAAAATGCTCATACTACCCAAAGCAATCTATAGCTTTAATGAAATCCCTACCAAAATACTAATAGCATTTTTCACACAACTAGAATAAATAATACTAAAATTTGTGTGAAACCAAAAAAGATCCCAAATAGCCAAAGCAGTCTTGAAAAAGAACAAAGTTGGAGATATCATAATCCCAGATTTGAAGATATACTACAAAGCTGTAACCATCAAAACAGTATGGTACTGGCACAAAAAAAGACACACAGATCACTGGAACAGAATGGAGAGCTCAGAAATAAACCCATGCATATATGGCCAATTAATCTGTGCCAAAAAAGGCAAGAATATACAATGGGGAAAAGATGGTCTCTCTTCAACAAATGATGCTTGCTGGAAAAACTGGACAGCTACATGTAAAAGAATGAAACTGGGCCACTTTCTTACACCATCCACAAAAATAACTCAAAATGGATTAAAGACCTAAATGGGAGACTTAAAACCATAAAACTCCTAAAAAGAAAATACAGGCAATAATCTCTTGGACATTGACTCTACAACATATTTTTGAATTGTGTCTCCTCAGGCAAGGAGAAATAAAAGAAAAAATAAACTATTGGGACTACGTCAATATAAAAAGCTTTTGCACAGCAAAGGAAATCATCAGCAAAACAAAAAGGCAACCTACTGAATGGGAGAAGATATTTGCCAGCGATGTGTCCATTAAGGGGTTAATATCCAAAATATATAAAGAACTTTACAACTCAATCCCCCAAAAATACTGTGATCAAAAAATGAGCAGAGGATCTAAACAGAATTTTTCCAAAGAAGACATATAGATGGCCAACAGACAGATGAGAAGATTACTTGTCATCAGGGAAATGCAATTAAAACCACAATGAGATATTACTTTACACTTGTCAGAATGGCTAAAATGAAAAACAAAAGAAATAACAAGTGTGGGTGAGGACATAGAGAAAAAGGAACCCTTGTGCACTGCTGGTAGGAATGCAAGCTGGTGCAGCCAACTGTGCTAAACAGTATGGAAGATCCCCCCCCGCCCCAAATTAAAAATTACCATATGATCCAGTAATTCCACTATTGGGTATTTACCCAAAGAAAAGAAAAACACTAATTCAAAAAGATACATGCACACTTATGTTTACTGTAGCATTATTTACAACAGCCAAATTGTGGAAACAACTCAAATGTCCGACAGATGAATGGATAAAGATGTGGTGTGTATACACATACACACACACACACACACACACACACACACACACACACACACACTAGAGTATTAGCCATTAAAAAAAAGGTGGGGGGGAATCTTGCCATTTGCAACAACAGACTGACCTAGAGTATATAATTTTAAGTGATATAAGTCAGTAAGAAAGACAAATATCGTATGATTTCATTCATCTGTGAAATTTAAGAAACAAAGCAAATGAACAAAGGAAAAAAAAAGACAAAAAACTAGACTCAAATACAAAGAACTGGTGACTAGCACGGACAGGGTCGGGGGGGTGCGTGAAATAAAAGAGATGAAGCGTACACATTTATCTTGATGAGCAATGTATAAATTGTGTGAATCATTACATTATATACCCGAAACTACTATAATACTATGTTAATTATGCTTCAATTTAAAAAATAATTTAAAAAAAAAGTGGGCATGTACTCAGGCCAATGACTCTCAAGAGGAGGACTCAGGAGGTAGCTCCTGGGAAATATTTCCTCCCACTTGAGAGAGACAAGTACGGGGAGAAATAGTCCCTCTTCTTCTGCTGGAAAGAGACAAATATAGGGAGAAACAGCCATCTTCTGCTGGATTTTGCTAAATCCATTGCATGGATCCATCCTCCATGTGATGCCTACAACTTCAGTGGTCATCTGTAACTGTGAGGTGAGCCAGCCTGAGGATAAGTTGATATGCAGAAGATGGAAGAACAGGGAAAGAAGGAAAGAATTTCGGTTCTTATGGACAACTCTGAACCACTGAAACAACCAACTCTTGCTGTCTTCATGTTATGAGGATCCCCCCCAAATAACTTTCATATATATTGATGTCTACTGATATTTACCATCTAAGAAGATTAAAACTAAGAAAAATTTAAAATATGAGAATATACAAGTATTTGTTCCACTACACAAGAGAGCAAAGATATCATCATATCATGTAATCTCTTAGAAAACTCCCTTAGACGTTTATGAGAGAATGAGAGTGTAAGATGCAAATAACATCTCAGCATTACTGGAATAATAATTTTGACTCACAGACGCCTTGACAGAGTTTCAGGGACTCCCAGGGGAGCTTGGACTTCATTTTCAAAACTGCCAGATTAAGCTACTTCGTAATGACTTTTAGAAAATTATTTGCTGCTGTAACCTAGAGGATATAGTGGTATTCTCCAAAAAAGGTTTATTTAATAAAGGGGCACCATTACAATGGTATTTTTATTTTTATCAGAGCAATCAAAAACTCCACCCAAAACCCCAAACCCAACTGATAACTCTCAGAGAAAAGCAAAATCAAACAATGATATAAACATATAGACCTAAGTAGTTACCAAGAGGTGACTAAAATAGAGCCAATGAGAAAAACTTAATCATCTCCATAATTATCTTGAATTTTAAAATGTTGTCTTTAACAGTAGCATCAATCTAATTAGGGCTATGTAGCTAGAGGTCAGCTGTGGTGCAAGCACATACTTCTTTTCCTTACCATTCTTCACCATTCCTTTAAAAGCCTATAGGAAAAGCAAAAACAGTATACTTGATAGAGATACAAACCATTCTAAAATGTCCAATAACTCACTCTATGTCTAACATCAATTAAAATTCCTAAAAAGGGAATGTGTTTACCTTTAGCACCAGACAATAATCTGTAGGTGCTTTGTATTTGTTCCGGTAGTCCTGTCCATAATAAACATTGACATGATCCAGTTGGAGAAAGCATACCAGTTCCCGAGAGACCTAAGATAAAAACACCAAAAAGACTGACTTAACAATAATGTATAAACAAGCAAATACCATACCTGGTAATAGTTTCTAGTTGAGAATAAAAACTTTACAAAGTGGAAACCAATCTATTTTGCAGTTGACAAGACAGTGACATTCTCAATGTTCCTTCTTTAACCCAGGATACAACAAAAAAGCAGTCCATTTCTGTCTGCCATTCACAATGAACACAGACTTGCTTGGAAAGGGTGGCATTTTAAGGAGACTTTAAATATAATACAGCATATCAAATATAGTATATAGTAGAGCTCTGGAAAAAAACATCATGTAGTTTGGTGCTCATAATGCGTATCTCAAGTACAATGATTCTCAAGTCAGGGTTTCCTCACCTTAAATAGAGGAAACAAAATATGCCTCTCGGGAGGGTGGTAAAGCCTAGATGAGAGGATGCTGTAAGGAGTTTAAAATAGTGAGGGCCCCCACTAAGCACAAAAGTGGCAGCTACCAAGGGGACCCTCAGCAGGAGCATATTATCCAAGAAAGGCTGAAATACCTATAATCCCAGAAAGCTATTCTCCCCAAACAATAACAAGCAAAAACTACTCTGACAGAAGTTCTGAAAATAATAAATAAAAGTATGACTTCAAATGTGGCAAGAGAACTGAAATGGGCCCAATGAATGACCAGAGAGTGAACATGTCCAGGTTTCTTCTTCTTTATAATAGATCAATAAACAAAGCAAAGCAATATTCTGTGTGTCCTACAACAGCTGAAACAAGGGACGCCTGGGTGGCTCAGTTGGTTAAGCAGCTGCCTTTGGCTCAGGTCATGATCCCAGGGTCCTGGGATCAAGTCCCACATAGGGCTCCTTGCTCAGCAGGGAGCCTGCTTCTCCCTCTGCCTGCTGCTCCCCCTGCTTGTGCTCTTTCTCTCTTACTCTATGACAAATAAATAAAATCTTTAAAAAACAAAAAAAGAGTTGAAACAAATCAGAGCCTGGATTCACCTTGTCAGCATACTTACTACAAATTAACTGTCATAATGAGGAAGCTCAAAAGTCAGCAGAGGGGACACACCTTTGCTTTTCCTTTAGGGACATAGTAGATACCAGATGCTCGCAAGAGAAAATAACGCTTTTTCCAGGACTTTTTGCCATCATCTTTCAACCACAGGACTCCTTCAATTTCTGGTACAGTTACAGAACTTCCACAAAAACATTCCTAAAATAAGAAGATGATTTGGAAAGATGTGATCTTTGGATTCTCAGAACAAAATTGTGTTTACTCCTGTGAAGTTCATACTATAATTATACCAAAATGGCTTTGGTATTAAGGCCACACTGCTAATATTACCTCAATTAGAACTTTGTATTCTAAACATATAGATTCATTTTGAAACTACTATGGCAATCCCTATGAACTTTTACCTAACATTGTTTTGAAGAATCTAAATTGAATTGTCAACTGAGCTGCATACAACAGGATTTAAATGCATCTGTACAGCATAGTTAACACTAAATTTAGTAAAAGTGTCAGTTAACGTAAGCATTAGACTTTATTTTTCTCCAAATTAACAACACATTTAGATTAGCTGTCAAACCAAATTTGTTTTAAAAAGCAACATGCTAAGTGAGTAAATACTCACAATTTAAAAACTATCAATTTATATGATTCTAAAACAAAGAGGACATTTATTTTTTAAATATTTAAAACTAGGTTGAAAGGAATGTAAACAAACTCAAAATTATGAATTCTAATGTCTGTACTTAGATAAAAATGTAATTAAAAAATCAATCATGTATTTGGCAAGAGAAAAATAGAAATCCTCACTAAATGTTAACATAGGACATTTTGAGCCTAAATTAACTTCTCTCTTAATTACAAAGAGGATTTTTAATTGTAGCTATTATCACTACGAAAAGCTGAGTGATGATCTTCATCTTCCTGCCTTATTGCTAAGAATTTATTCTGGTTTTCAAACATACTAACTTCTTTGATTTTAGTTCTCTAAAATCAGCAAAGGCCAAAAACCTAAAAACTGAATTATGTTTGAATTTATTTTATTAAAATAAGGGGATGTGTGTGTGTGTGTGTGTGTGTGTGTGTGTGTAAAATGATCATAATTTTTTTAATTGAGTTAAAGCTAAGGCTTGAAATATTTTGTAAATAACCAGTATATTCAAATTTCTCTCTAGGTGAGCAGATAAAGCACCACAATCATGTCCTTCATTGAGCAGCCTATTTCCCCACTTGTCTGCTCCTAAAAGCTCATAACTCCTTTTAGTCCACTAATATATTACTTGGCAAAATAACAGTTTTTAAGAGGTTCTTCAGTGGCCTAACATTCACACAGCTGAACTCTCCCCCTCAGGCTATGGAGGAATATAGGCTTCTCTAGTTACAAGTGTAATTATGAATATATAGCACTGACATACTTGACTTCAAAAAAGGTGCTTAATATTTTAATACTGTAATGTGCAGGAAAAAAGGGGGTGGGGGGAGTGAAGAGTCATACCTCTAATAGCACTTCTTTGTTTCTATCTGCCATCTCAGCGGTTTCCTTTTTCCCCAGAAGGTAATTCTGGAAAAATAAATAAATGAAAGTTAAAGATAAACCCACCCTATTATTCCCTTGGCACAGGTGCATATATGATTTCTTCTAGAGATATAGCAACTGTGTCTGCCTGTATAGAATGACAGGAATACTGCTTTGAACATTAACTTGTGCCTGAGCATCATTGCTAAAATGCTTAATGCTGGCCTTCTCCTTACTTTAGCCATTATCTTGAAATATTTCATAAACTGCCCTCCCCCAAATCCTGGGATGATACCACATCCAACAGCTGACAAATGTTATGTACAACTAATGAAAGGACCTGAAAGGTTTACAAATTAAGTACAATGAGTAAGGTAAATTTCCTTAAAATATGCTAAGCTTAACTGACCCAGATGCAGAAAATTTATGTTCTGGCTTTGAAAGAAGAAATCCAATTCTCTGACATTATCATAATATCACTTGCCTCAACTAAAATCTGAATTCTATTAGCCTTATAAAAAACTTTTTTGCAATCACCTATAAAAAAATCTATTGGTATTCCCAAATGTGTATTATTCACTAAAAATATCCAGTAAAGATGTGTCATGATTAAGCTGTCTGAAGGATATTTAATACTTTTAACACTACTCTTTTTCATTACTACTTCTTCTCTCACCTACTGATTTTTATAAAATATTTGTGTATTACGAATTATTAACTCAAACATTATTCTGGAATAAACAAAGATGCCAAATAAATCAAGGTAACATATATTAAAAGTGGAACCATTTATAATCAAGGTTATTGAAATTAAAAAAAAATATTAAAGTGTCAACTGGATAAATGGAGAAAGTAGAGAACTTAAATATGTAAGTACTCTTCTTTGATGGAAGAGAAGCTCACCAAGTAAATAGCTGAATTCAACAGCTCTGGATTACAAAAAGCAGAAACCTGGTAACTCCCTGGAGTTACTTCTGCTGCCCCAAGGGCTCACTCCATCTGGCTCTGGGTGACTGGTAATCTCTTTGAGGCCTGACACCTGGGCCCCAGAGGACTTTCCACCTCAGTGGAAGTAGTAAATGGAAGCAGTTACTACTCCCATAGTAAATGCTCCCACGGGGTTTTGCAATCACAATGCTCCAACCAGGTGGTTGCCAGTTTTTTTAGCTCTATTAACTTAAAAGTAATAGAATAATATGAACATTTAGAAATCATGATCTCTGTAAGATATTTGGCCTCACCTGTGGGTTTTTGAAAAGTGCATATTTTTCTATACGTTCCATAAATACAAGCTTGTTTTGGCTATCTCTTGTCCAATTAAGAAGATTTTCAACCAAGTTTTCGTGGTCTTCAAAGATTCTCTCTGTCCCAAGATAAAATATCAGTACTTTGTTAGTATTCATCAGAACTGCATCAAAGACATGAAACCTTGTGAAGTAATTCCAAGCAGAACCACAGAATTTTACTTGACATTATAGCTCTTGGCCCTTAGAAATGATCTAGTCTTCCCTCTATTTTCAAATAAGGAAACATGCCCACTGTGTCAACTGACTTCAGCAAAGTCACACAACTGCTACATGGAAGAATTAGGACTAAAATCTAGGTCTTCTGTTAGGTTTTCCTCAGCCTTCAGCCTTTTCCCATCCACCCTTGAAAAAACAAAAACCAGGGGTGCCTGGGTGGCTCAGCCAGTTAAGCATCTGCCTTCAGCTCAGGTCATGGTCTCAGCTCCTGGGATCGAGCCCCTCCCTCCAGCTCCCTGCTCAGCGGAAAGTCTGCTTCTTCTCCCTCTCCCCCAGCTCATGCTCTTTCTCTCTCTCTCTAAAAAAAAAAAAAAAAAAGACTGTAGCCAATTACATAAAAGGTAGTAGAGAAATATTATATATATGGGTCTTTAACCTACAGCCACGGACATATTCCAAAAATTAGTATCCAGACATTTTCTGTGTATCATGATGCCACATCTATGAACTCAAACCTTTCTAATTCTCTAAGAATAATTATGAGTATTATTAGAATACCTTTTATACACGTTAATAAACTAATAACTTATGTTTAGGGGGCTATGTTTGTGCGTTCTGACAAAAGGGTTATCAAATTTTTATTTCTCTGGAAACCAAGATGAAATATTTAAATCGGTACTAAGAGAAATGCAAATACTTTTTAAATTAAAATATAAAGTTAAAATTGATTACTGATTAAATAATACCTAATAAAATAACAGTTGCCCGGTGCTATAATCACACAACAGTATAAAAAGAAAACTTTTTTTAGAGTCAATGATGGCGTTAAAAATTAGGAATTTTTAAAATTAGAAAACACCACACTAAACTATAAATCATAGGAAATTAAGATTTAGTACATCTAGCTAAAAATAAAAAAGATAAGGCTTCACGTTTTCCCTAAAAGTCAAATGCTGGTATAAGAAATTCAGAACAAATATGAATAAATAGAATGGTCTTAGTAAATGTGTCTGTGTATGCAGTTATTTGAAGGGAAAAAGTATCTTGTTACTTAAAAAAAAAACAAACAGTTTTAGCCATAAGACGATCTGAAGTGAACTGGGAATGATCTTGTATCCAAAGCAATCTCAAAATACTTGGAGGAAAAAAAAGATAACGTAAAAAGCTAAGGCTATATATAGGAAAAAAAAAGATGACTCAAAGTGCTTTAGTTAACATGAAAACGGTTAGGATTGCATAGAAATTAAAAAGTAAATAAAGCAATTAGATTACTAACCCATTTGTAATTCAGAGATGGTTTCTACCAGCGACCAGTCTAAACTATAACCGCAGTGGGATTTGTCCATTAGGTTATCCAGCACTTGTCTCACTGTCTGCCTCTCATCCACCATCATTGTTTTAGAACTATCATCAGACATGTGGACTCTAATCACCAACTATAACAGGTAAAAAGGAAATTAAATACAAACCAAAATGAGGCATTCTAGAAATTTCTTCCACTATCAAGTCATCTTCTGAGTAATGTTGTTCTTAGTTAAATATAAATTAAAACACAAAAAATGACTATTATGCAAGAAGGATATTCTAAAATTAGGTATCAACCTACCTAAACAAATTGAAAGCATTTTTAAAATTATAATAACAGATAAGATTATAATAAGACTATTTTGTTTTACTCTTTTAGGAAAATTTAAAACAGAAAGTTATTTCTTTATAATAACATTTTATCTATAAAAAACATATATGAAAAATATATTAGGAAGAAATATCCCTCTACCTCTCTGTATCTTTAAGGTATGTTATATAAACAAGGGAATTCTTTATAAATCTGATAGAAAAAAACTGATAAAAAAAAATCCCAAATGAAGAAAAAGCCCAAATATCACCTTTTTCACTTGTGCCTCTTTAATTTTCTCCAGGGCAACTCTGATCTTCTCAGCTTTCAATTTTGCTGCCTGTTCTTCCTGTGAACACAAAGCACTGCAGATAAACTAATGCTAAAATAATGAAAATTTTTGAACTCTTTTTATCTTAAGGATGTTGCCAGTATTGAATTTCAGTAAGAATATAACTTCACATACTTATATAGAGCACATTTAAAAAATAACCCTGTTAACAAAGTGAGAACAGACATAGTACACAAAGGAACAGTTTTAAGATGCACACTTTAAGATCTCTTATATTAAGAGACCAGATTCCATCTTCCATCTTCTAGAGAAAAAGAAATCTGTGATATAGCAAATTAATGAGTTTGATTCTGTCAATCTGAAGCAGATGAATTTCAGACAGAAGAAACAGGAGTGTATAATGGGCTCTGTGCTGGCCTGCCAGTTTGCCATACCTGCACAGTCCCTTGACTCTGAATTTATACCCGCCTCCGAAGTATGGGCAATCTTTTGCATACTAATGTTTTGTTCTGTTATACTGAAAATGTATCATTACCATAAAACAGCAAAAAACAGTACCTATTTCTTTGCAACCACATAAAAATCCTTAATAAAAAATATAGGCATGTTCTCATCAATATACCAATGCAAACAAAGGAGGATGCATTATACTCTAGGTTTCATTCTGTTTTGCAAAGTACACAATATAATCAATGTCTCATGTTAGTAAACTCAAATTTGTTTCTATTAATTCACTGATGAAATTCTTAAAATGCTAAATATAATTTTCCAAATATTTAATTTCTAGTGACTTCTTTATAAAATTTAATTATAAGTAGTAATAAAATTATCAAGAACTATAATTATAGTCACACCATTTATTTTTTCCTAAAATAACATATAGTATTGTAATATAGGTACTTACCTGTACTTTCCAGCAATAGGCCATTGTACACTGTAGCCTTAATCTCCAGTTGAAAAAAACTCATGTAAGTAAACCTTCGCTTTTTATGAAGGATTACTTTCTAACTCTAAGCTTTTGATTACTCTGGAAAATATCTAAGGAAAATATACACTGCCATCTTATATATTCCTATATTTAATATAAGACTTAAAACAAAAGAAAGACCTAGTTATATCAGCCAATTTTATCTGCTCTGGATTATGATTAAAAACCATCCATTTCATTCTCTAGGCTATCTTCCCTCATTTCAAGCTTAGTAGTTACTACTCTGTAGAACAGAGAAAACAGTAGTTAGAGAAGACAGTGGGTTTGTTTGCCAGAAATCGGATCCTTTTCAATGAAAGGAGCCAGTGAATTAACATAATAACCAAGGTGTGGAAATACTATCTGTAAACCCAATTAGAGAACAAGGAACTTTATTTTAACAATGAAGGGGGTAAGATAAGACTTGATTCTTAGACTATTATATAGACATTTGATTATAAGATCAAATCATTGTGTCCCTGCCTTTATGCAAATAAACATAATTATAAAATATGTTGCCTAAGTAATTTTTTTATTTTAATAAGTTATTTTTTTCTTTTTAATGCAGGCTATACAATGAGAAAACTACACTACTGTCATTAAAACTCTCAGTTTCTGGAATAATGTGTCTTAGATAAACAAATCATTGTTAGTTAAATTACCAAACCTTGTGTTTTTGATGAGTATAGCACATACTCTAGAAAGGAATTTTGAATACTACCATTTCCCAGTGGTTTCATGAAACCAGCTGGCAGGTTTTTTTGGAAGAGAAAGAGGGAAGCAGGAACTTTATGAATGTTTTCTCAATGGGATAATGATCTTCTGTTTCTCATGGCTCATTTGCTGCATCTTTGTATTAGTATGAATGACTGTTACAGAGAGGAAAAATTTACCAAGGCATATTTTCAAGTTTTACTTCATGTCTCTGAAAAGCAAATTTAAAAATCTCAAAGTCTGATAAGGAAAGACTGATACATAAAATCAATGCTTTGTGTATTTGGAATATAAACATGAACTTCTAAAAGGCCAAATTCTTTTATAACATTATAATTATTCTGCAGAAGTTAAAAAAAAACTGAAGAAAATGAACAATCCAGTAAAAAAATGGGTGTTCTAAAAGACATGAACAGACAACTCACCAAAGAAGATACACAGATAGCAAATAAGCCCATGAAAAGATGCTCAATATCATATGTCTTTAGGGAACACCAAATTAAAACGAGATTATCACTATACAGCCTATTAAAATGGCCAAAATCCAAAGCACTGAAAACATCAAATGCTGGTGAAGTAGAGGATCAACAAGAACTCACATACATTGCTGGTGGGAATGCAAAATAGTAGAGCCACTTTGGAAGATAGTGTGGTGGGTTCTTATAAAACTAAACATGCTCTTACAATATGATCCGGTAATGCTCCTTAGTATCTACCCAAATCTCATTTGGGTAGATACTAAGGAGCATTACCTCCATCCAAAAATCTACACCCAGCTGCTTCTAGCAGCATTATTTATTTATTTATATTTTTATTAGCAGCATTATTTATAATTGCTAAAACTTAGAAGGAACCCAGATAGCCTTCAGTAGGTGAATGGGTAAACTGTGCTACATCCAGCCAATGGAATATTACTCAGGGCTAAAAAGAAATGACCAAGCCATGCAAAGACATTGAGGAAACTTAAATGCATATTACTAAGTGAATGAAGCCAATCTGAAAAGGCTGCATACTGTATGATTCCAACAATGACATTCTAAAAAAGGCAAAACTATGGAGAAGGTAAAAAGATTAGTGGTTGCTAGGGGCTGGGGAGAAGGAGGGATGAATAGGTGGAACACAGCACTTTTGTAAGAGTGAAGCTATTCTGTATGATACTACAATGGTAGATACATGCATGTCCTTAACACATTTGTTGAAATCCACGGGATGTACAACATGAAGCGGGAACCCTAATGTAAACTATGGACTCGGGGTGATAATGATGTGTCAACAAAGTTCATCAGTTGTATCAAATGTACCACTCTGGTGGGAGATATTGATTATAGGGAGGCTATACCTGTGTGGGGGCAGGTAGTATAAGGGAAATCTTTGTACCTTCCCCTCAAATTTACTGTGAATCTAAAACTGCTCTAAAAAAATAAAGTTTATTTTAAGAAAGAATATACAAATTTAAATATTACATTCTGATACTGGTTATAAATATAAAAATAGTATTTTCATACTCCCATTTTAGTGTGATATTATTTGCCAAATACAACAGAACACAACCAGCGCTATCTTTTGAAGGACTGATATAAAAAGTCGTTTAATTGTAAGATTAGTTTAAACCAAGTTTCTGTTCTACAGGCTAACAGGAAAATATTGACACAGTGGAAGAAAGGATAAAAGAAACAAGAGATTCAGTGCAACCATTTAACATACGTTAAACAAATTAGATTTCCTAGCCATCAATAAGAAACCATCTTTTTGTAAAGCACCTAGGTGGGGCTATTTTAACTTTAACATCCAAATTTAGCTCTTCCATTTGCTCAAAATACTACTCTTTAATAACTACATAAATTGATCTGTTTTAAAACTGTGTAAAATTCAAATTTAGGAGCTCTGTGCTTAATTTCAACCTAGGCAAATTTTAGTTTATTCTTCCCCAGTTTATTAACAAGGATGATCCTTGGTAGAAGCTTTTTGAAGAAACAACTGATCAAGATACCTCTTACTTTTAGAGTCTGAATATCATCACTGGAGCAAAACTGAAAATAAAAATACTTATATCAAATTGCAAGATTCATAGTATTTTATGCTTCCATAACCTCTTCCTGAGAAGGTTTGATTTTTACCCACATTTCCATGGTATATTCATATCTTTACTTTTAACCATTACAACCTAGGGGGAGGAAGAAATTGTTTTAAGCTCATAAAGTATGCAATATAGGAAAGATCAATACATCTTTGCTGATGTGATTAGACTCTACAGGAAGAAGACATCTGATACTTTACTTATAGAGGCAATGTAAATCTATGTTCAATGTCTGCAGCCTAATTTCAATACAATGAACAAAGCTTTATTCATCTCATGTTCTCCTCTTTTTGCTAATACAGACCACCTCGGTCTTAAGCCTTCTGCCCCCTTATCTTCTGACTATCCCTTTCTTCACGTTTGTCCCACAGCTATCCTCAACATAAGTAAAAGATATCTTACACATATAAGAACTTTCTCCTCTACCATGTCTCTTAAAAGAGCAAAAGACAACCCATTTTCTACCTAAAAAACTCCTGTGCGGCTATCAATAACCATCAAATGCCAAGCCTCCTCAAATTTACATAAAGAACAAAAACTCAGTGAAGATCTTATGATTAAATGAAAGGCAATGCTGTGGTTACAAAGTGTTAAAACATTCTCGAGTGTAAAAATTAGAATACTGACAGGAAGAGTGACAGTTGCTAAGAGATGGCCAGTGAATTCCTTCAACTAAAAAAATTATTAAGGCTTTGTAGGTTCAGAACAGATCCAGTTGAAATTAAGGGGCTCAAAAGGAATTAGCAGTTTCTTTAGGATCTAGTTTATTTCACACTTTACAGCAATAAAAAAATTAGATAAATTTAAAAAGGTTCAAAGAAAACTTGGAGTGGTAAGTTAACCACCCATGAAATGCTCTACTCTAGAAAATTACTTAGAGCCACAATAATAACAGTAACAAACTACTTTACTTCCCTGACATTGATAGACTTTCACTGAGAAGAGAACTAACATCAACTGAACACCTAAAACTTGCCACACACTAAGAGGCGTGGTTACACACGGCATCACATTTAATTCTCAATAATGCAAGGCAAATATCACTATTATATACATTGTACTGATTAAGGCTCAGAAAGACTAATCTTTCTAAGATCAAACAGGCAGTTACCCAATGACTAACTACTTGCTCTCTCCACTAGCAGTAAGTAAAAACTAATTGTCAAAAATGAAAGACTTATAGTAATATAATAGCACTTTTATAACTTCTCTGAAGCAAAGAAAAATGGTGGTTAACATTACAACAGTTCTTGAAGGTCACTAAAGGACCATTCTGTGACAGATGTTTGTTGAGACTGT